TGGGGGCCTTTTGGCGGCTCCAGGGGCTTCCAGGAGCGTCGTGGGTGCCTCGGGGAAGCCTCTTGGGGCCTCTTGGGGGCCTCTTGGGGGCATCTTGGGGGCCTCTTGGAGGCCTCTTGGGGCCTCGTGGGGCTCTCTGGGAGGGGTCTGGGAGGAATCGTGGGGCCATCTGTCGGGCGATCGATCACAGATGAGGCGAGCATTTTTCTGCCCCCCCCCCGTCGGGGCCAGAATCCTCGTGAGGGGTGTCGAATTTTAGCCCTCCCAGGAATCGAAAAAGACCCCTCTGACCACCCGCGGGGCGCCCTCTCCAGGTCCAGGGGGAGGGGGTAGGGGGAGGGGTAAACCCCTCCCCGAAGGAGAAGAAGGGGGGTTGAGAACAGAGAGAGCTCGCTAAACCACTCACGCCCAAAGGGCTGGTGGGATTGGTGCGTGTCGCCGAAAGCGACACGGCAGCGAGTGCGACAGGGCCGTCCGACAGCGGTGGGGGCACTGAACGAAGTGGGCTCGCAAGGCGACAGGGCTCCACTAACTGCTTGTTCTTCCTCCTCGCCGCCCCCGCCCCAGCCATCGCAGATTGCTTGTGGCTCTCAGAGCGATGGTCGTTTCTCACGTCCAGCCCGACGCCCTGCCCGACGCCCTCCCCGAGCCCAGCCCGACTCCCTTCCCGACGCCCTGCCTGGCGGTGCACCCAGCGCCTTAATCGACGCCTTTGCGACACTGGTCCCAACGCTTTCCCCGACGTCTTTCCCGTCGACCCTCTCGATGTGTTTCCTGGCTCGCTGTCCGACGCCTTACTCGACGGCCTACTCGACGCCCTCCCCGTCGCTGTGCCCGACGCCTCACCAGACGCCTTTCCCGACGGCCTCTCCAATGACTGCGGGGGGCGCAAGCCCATCTTTTTGCCATTGGTGTCCTGGCAGGCGAGTGCCAGAAATAGCAACCGCGATGCTGCGCAGCACGACGGCCTCCAACAAGACGACGCTGAGCAGCAGCGCCCCCCTCCACCCATTGCTCCTTCCAGTCTTTGCTGTCCACTCGCTGATTCTGCCCCAAGGCCGTTCTCCTTCCTGCCCTTTGCTGTCGAGGATCAAGACGGCCACCGGCAGCATGACGATGAACAACAAGACGATGAGCAGATTTGGGGCGTGAGTACGATCAGCACGACATTGGTCAGCACACTGGTCACCCACAAAACGGCGAGGAGGACGCTCCATTGTGAGTATATGCTCGCCACGACGATGCTGCCCAGCACTGCGGAGCTGTCCGCTACGAACCCAGGCTACCGTCATGTATGACGGAGTCGAGCCCCTCGTCGACATGCTACACCACGGCATGTTGCGCCTACGCGGTATTCACCTCGACTGAGCTGGGCATCGCGGAGTTGTCCAGCACCAGGGGACCGAGTGTCGAGTGGTACAATGTTGTCCACAACGACGAAGTTGAGCATCCCGTCAGTTATCAGCATCACAGAGTCTGTCACTCCCACGGAATTCACCATGACGGATTCGTCCGCCACATCGCCATCCAGCACTGAAAATGCGGGCGCTGCATCGGCGTATCACACGACCATTTTGTGCAGCACGGAGACGATCACCACGGCGTCTTGAAGCACGCTGGGCACTGGAAGAGCGACTCTGGTCAGCATACGAGCTCCAGTTGCAGAAACCACTACCAGCGCCACTCACACGTTTTCCCTGAGGCCAAGTCCATTTTCGCACCGCCCTCCCCACTGCCCCCACCATGCTACCACGATGCGCGGAGTGGGAGGGTGGAGAATGGTGGAGTCGAACGTGGGAGGGTGAGATCGAGGATGAGGGGCAGCAGCAGCAGCAGCTGCAGCAGCAGCTAGGAACGCTACAGTTTTGCATCCAAAGTCCGCGCAAAATTCAAGATACCAGCAGCAGCAGCAGCAGCTGCACCACCAGCATTATAATAGAGCAGGAGGAGGAGGTGGACCGCGAGGAGCAGCAGCAGCAGCATAGAGGATGATATCGACGATGAAGAGGAAGGAGGAGGCCCTCACTCCTCAAGCTGATATGGAACATCACACGTTGTTTTGTGACTATGGGCTGTTGTTAGGAAGGTGTGATCTTAAACCTCAGTCCTTTCTTATGACAACTAGTAGTCCACCTGTGTCCTCGTCGGCCTTCTCTCCTTTGTAGTCCATCCTCCTTCGTCGTCGTCCTCGTTCTTCCTCGTTCGCCGGCGTCATCCTCTCTGCTCCTTCGTCGTCGTTCTTCCTCGCGCCATCCCTTGCGTCGTCGTCCTCCTCCCTCCTCCGTCGTCGGCCTCCTCTCTCCTCCTTCGTCGTTCTCCTTCATCCCTCCTTCGTCGTCGTCCTCCCCCTCCTGATGAGGTGGAGGACGAGGAGGAGGAGCAGTAGGAGAAGCGGGAGCATGGGAGGTACTACCCGACGGACACGGGCCCTGGCGACGCCACGGCTGCGGTCGACCCCTCCGCTGACACTCTCGGCGTCCCCGGCTCGTTTGTCTGCCAGGACGCGCGAGAGTGGGCGAGAGGTGGGGAGGCAGCGTCTTGCCCTTGCACTGTACGAGACGATGGGAGCCAAGATTTTCATATCGAAATACTGGCCCAAGCTGGAGTGCAAGTATTTCGCACCGACTTGGTTGCCGATGCGCAATCCAATCCTCTTTGTCCTCCCCGTCGGCCTGCCCCATCCTCCCCTGATCCACCTCCGCTTCCTCCTCCTGCCCCTCCTGCCTCCACTTGTATTCCTCTGCCTCCTAATCAGCTCTTCTGAACTATCCTTCTCCCCTCCTGCTCGAAATATTGTGTATATTCCTGCTCATATCTCGCGGTGACTCTTCTAGGACTGACACCCGGTGGCATCTCGAGGCGGAGGAGGGGGAGAGGAGGCGAGGAAGATGAGGAGGGCGACGATGACGATGACGACAACGATGACGACGACGAGGACGTTGAGGATGAAGAGAAGCGGAGGAGGAGGAGGAGGAGGAGGAGGAGGAGGAGGAGGAGGAGGTGGAAGAGCAGGAGGAGCAGGTGGGAGTTGGAGCGGAATGGCGAGGAAACTTCGCGAAGGAGGATCATGGAGTGATGTGGAGACCAGCAAGTGCGAACCAGAGCAACTCCAGCGTGGACCATTGTTGCTGCAGGGTACGTTTTGAATTGCTCCCGCCACAGGTCCTGACCCCTGTGGGACCCTGGAGGCCTCCAGCAGACAAGGGTCAGAAACGTCCGAAGACCTCCCCCCTCTCACAAGATGAGATGACTGCCCTGCTTACGCTTCCAGGCAAGACCAAGCCATACCACACGCCTCTTCGCCACGCAGATTGTATTGTTTGGCCCCCGTTCGGAAACGAGGGTGGTCAAAAGCGGGGTAAGTTCGTTGGCCTCGCCTGCCCTTGGCCTCCGAGGGTCCACAGCATGACTTCGGAGCTGCTAAGCGTCTTCCCGTCCCCAGGGCCGTCTTCCTCGCGAGGCCCGGAGCAGACGCGCCTGGCGTGTTCTCGATGGGGTCTGCGGCTCTGCTTCGCGAGCTCTGTTCGTGTGGTTCGTGGTGCGACAGGCAAGCGCGCGTGCCAACGGGGACAGCATCGAACATGCATGTGGAGGAGGAGGAGGAGGAGGAGGAGGAGGAGGAGGAGGAGGAGGGGGGCGTTCCGTAGCCATTTTGGCTCAAGCCATTTTGGCTCAAGGCCATTTCGGACAACCTCCGTCTCGAGTGGCCAGCGCCCGCCGCACGCGAGTGAGACCCTGGAGAGGCCCCCAGGACAAGGGTCTCCGCATTTTTCTTCCCCACATTACACCCCATACTGCACAGCCTGGATTCAGCCCAGGGAACTACCATACTTCAGTTTCGCTTCGATGGCCAGCAATGCTGTCTCAGCTTCTCTCGCATCTCAGCTGCTTGCTGCCCCGACCTTCCCGGAATCCCAGGAGGAGCTCCGCAAGGATGCAGAGCGCAAACGTGCTCGGCTTGCTGGTGCTGCTGATGACGACGGGTACGCATCCGCTGATGATGGTGAACCGATCAATATCAAGGCCTACATCGATAGCACGAAGGACGAGCTCATGGCCTCCATCGCAGCCGTTGAGTCTGAGGTCAAGACTAGCATCGCCAGCTCTGTGGGAACGCTGGCCAGCACTGTCCAACGATCTTGCTCGGGGTTTGCTGTTCAGGTGGAACGACGCATGGCGTCAGTGGAGCCCAACCTCTCTAACTATAAGAATACGACCGACAAGCGCTTGGACGACATGGGCGACCAGATCAAGGAGCTGCAGCGGCTCGTTGGTGTGCTACGCTCAGAAGAACCTGTACAACCTCCGATTGTGGACCGCTCCGTCTTTGACAGGACGCCTGATGGCGCGATCCTGGTGGCAAGGACACGTACTGCCGTCCCGAAGGAGAACTTCCGCACTGCTCTTCGGCCGATCATCGAGCGCAACAACATCAGCATGGACGATTGCACCTTCGAGGGAGCGGAGATGGCGACGCGGCAGAACATTCGGCTCCGTGGCAACGTCAACTACACCGCTCGGAAGATCCACCAGCTCCTCGGCTCGCTGCGGGACTCTCAGTCTGGACAGTGGGAGCGCCTTTCTATCAATGATGCGCAAGGAGCGCGTCAGGACTTGTACATCGACTCAGACAAGAGTGCATGCCAGATCAAACGTGAGCAGTTGGTCAAGCAGATTCGTAAAACTTGCCAGCTGCTGTGCCCTGCCAAGCGGTTCCATGCGGATCGTGCGAAAGGGATTGCGTCCGTGGGCTGGAAGCCGATCATCAAGGTGGAGCCCAACCCGAACGACTTACCCCCGACGGTCGAGTGGTCGGCCGAGAACATCGTCGCCGAGGGCATCGACAAGACGCGGATCACTGATGCCATCGCTGAGTTTGTGTCAGGACTGCCTCCTGTGCAGTGGTCCTAACATACTGTTTGCGGCCTGGTGCCGCGCGCATCCGTCTCATGCCCCTCTCTCCTGTGGCTCCTGGAACGCTCGCTCTCGTTTCTACTTCAAACCCCATCGCAGAGATAGGAAGCTCCAATACCTGAAGAAGATGGTAGGCCAGGGCACTCTTCTGGGGATTCAAGAGTCTCACGGCACACCTGCACACATTGACAATATGATATATCGCCTTCGTCTTCCTGTTCGTGCTTTTCACTCGCTTCTCCCTCTTGATCCTCACCCTGCTGGAGGCGTCATCACTTTCGTTCCTGACTTCAAGACGGCTGGAGCTGAGCACCCGCCGCAGGTTAGGGACATTCCTCTTGTTCGAGGGCGGGCTCTGAATGTTCGGTTGGAGTTTAGCAATGGGGCTAGGATCTACCACTATAACATTCACAATTTTGGGCTATCTAGTGGACAACGGGACTCGATCATAGAGGCTATCTCCAGGGACCTCGAGGCAGCTCTTGAGGACCCAGAGAGGATCTTGGTCATCGTAGGTGGCGACTTCAATATTTCGTCAGCGCCCCCGATAGCTGCTAACAAGGACTCACCCATAACGATCACCCAGGGCCAGGACTGGAGGCGCTCGCAGTGCCGTGCCTGGAATCGGCTTTTCGGGAAGATGACGGAAATCGAACTAAATGAACCGACTCATTTCAATGCAGCTCGGGGCACGCTGAGTAGTATTGATAGGCTCTTCGTCTCGTCTCCAGGCTGGTGTCTGACCCAATCATGCACGGGGGGTAGGACGCACGGGCAACCCGATACCCTCAATGACACCCTCATCTCTGACCACGTGGGGATCTCGTTCACGATGTCTCAGAGGTCAGCTACCAAGCCCGAGGAGCGTGCGATCCCGAATGAGATTTTTCGACGGCCTGAGTACCAGGCCAACCTGTCCAAGATTATGGCGCAAGTGGACACCTCGCAGCTCTCTCCCCCACTCCTTCTCGACTGCCACAAGACGATGATGCGTGAAGCTGCCCGAGCGACGCGCGACGCGATCATCCGACACAAACCTCATGACCCCCTATCTCGTCTGATTATTTTGAGAACGATTTCGAGAGAAATTTGGCAGCAAAATGCCCCTCTTGCCCGTCGTGTGATAGGCACGCACCCGCTTGGCGCCAAGTTTATCCAGATCAGTGCTGACTGCACCCGGGCGGAGCTCCTGGACCCTCCGGCCTTCCAGTTGGCAACCGAGCAGGAGCACGGCCGCCTGTTCGAGTCTGCCAAAGAGTTTGCGAGCAAGCAGTTGCAGAACTGCGAGATCGGCCCGACCGAGGCTAAGCTTCGCCAACGGATCCGAGGTCCACAGAAGAGAGGGCGCTTATGGGCCCCGTTCGACAGAAAACTTTGTCTCCAAGGGTTTCGGCCCACTCCTGAACCTGAAAGCAACAACCAGGCGATCACGTCTCCTTCGGGCATGCTGGATCAGTCGGCTAGGCACTGGGCCCCAATGTTGAGGCCAAGGCTACTGATGGTGCCGCTGCTCGGCACTATTTGGACCGCTTCGGTTTCGGAACCGACTTGGGCGACTTACCGCCACCAACAGAATTTGATATCCAGAAATGTCTTCGGAGAATTGGTTCCAGCGCCCCAGGGCCCGATCAGCTGCCATATGATGCTTGGAGATATCATCCTGAAGGTTCCAGAGTCCTTTGGAATGCGCTTTCCTGGATGTTGGAGGGTAAGTCGCTGCCATATGGTTTCAATGAACTTCGTGGAGCATTTCTTGCCAAAGGAGAAGAGGAAGGATATGAGGTTCAGGTTCTCCGTCATGCTAGCCAGGCGCGGCCCCTCGGGCTGAAAAACGCCGACATCAAAATACTCACAAATGTCTGCTGCCGTGCTCTCACCCGTCGTCTCCCTCAGCTGGTGCATCGCACTCAGAGGGGATTCATTCCGACGCGGAACTTTGGCGAGAATGTGCTAGAGTTAGACACAATCAGCCGTATCACGTCCATGGAGGAGGACGTGGGTACACGAACTACCAGTTCTAGCCGCTTTTGATTTCGGACAAGCTTTTCCATCAATAAATCATGATTGTATATTCAAGATATTAAAATCACTGTCTCTCCCTGGTCCTCTTCTTGGGTTCCTGGGTATGATCTATATGGATGTATGGTGCTTGGGAGGGATTGGCGGAGGGCTCCGTGTTCTCTTTCCCATTGGCTCTGGGATTATCCAAGGGTGTCCAGTGTCAGGGATGCTCTACGCGTTGCCGTCGCACCCGTTCATGCTCCACTTCGAGGCGCTAGTAGAAACTCCCAAACTTGGACTCGTGAGGGCTTGTGCCGATGACAAGGGTAGTGTGCTTTTTAGGATTACAGCCTCGCGAAAACTTTTTACGGTTTTCAGGGCCTGCAAGCGCGTGGCGAACTTAGACCTTAACGTGAACAAGTGTGTGCTGGTCCCGTTGGTCGGGGATTTCTCTCCCAGGGTCGCGAGGCTGTACTCGTCGTGGCTCCTGGCCAATATTCCAGAGTGGGCCGAATTTTAAATCGCCAGTTTCCTGAAATACCTCGGGCTTCAGATCGGACCAGGTGCTGGCCAGGCCTCATGGAC